TTGCAATGATTACTTGTTCCATGCTGACATACACACTTAGATGGCTTTATATGTTCATTCTCTCAGAGAACATATGTGGTTGTGTCCAAAATGTCTACACCAAAAAGAGTGAGCTTAATTTGAGAAGTTCTAGAACCTCTGCAGGGGTAAAGTTAAGGAATCTTTCAATGTCCTACATAAGGTTAGCTCTATTAGTGAACCAGTGAGTTGAGGAGGGGCAGCCCATGGACCCTGTCCTGTCTGCATAATGGGGCAGCCTGAAAAAGGAGGAAGAGGGAGACAAGGAAGGGAGAAATCAGGAAGTCTGAAGAAATAATGAGGCTTATGGATGATTGGTTAAGGAAAGAGGTAATTTTACTCCATCACCTTCTCTGCTGATTGGCTGTTCCATTTGCACAGCTCTGGTAGCCATTGTGCTGATATAATTGGTTGACCCCAGACATGTCAAAAGAATCACCAACTCCACAGGGTAAACTGCCTCTCCCTCATTTTGAAGAGATGGTTTTTCTTTGACATTGACTATCAGCTTTTATTGCTTAAATAAATACAATGATAGTGTGGCAACTGAAATAGAGGATGAAGCTGTTTTGTTCTTGAGGCCATCATCCCTTCTGACGACTGATTTAGTTTTGGTTCTCCAGTGGGTTGGCCGAGGAACATGTATACATGGGAGTGTCTGTGGTATCTGTGGGATGTGTGTGTGTCAGTACCCATTTGAGCAGGACATAGTGTGGAAGAATGTTTTCAAAAGGTTCAAAACAAATGGAAATGAGCATTTAATTAAGTTGCCTAATAAAGAGCTGATGTTGATTACCTTGGCCACATTCCTTAGTAAATTTTATTCTCATATTATTACTACAAGAATATCTAAAAATGGGTATTTTGAAAGCCCAGCAATTGTAGCATTTCCATGGCAACACAGCAAGGAAAGAGAATTCTGTCTGGACAACCTCTGCAGAGCAGATGACACTTGCTACAAATGCCTTTTCCCTGGACAAAGAAAATGAGGACTTGGGTAAATGTTTCTCCTACATCCTCCTTAAATCTCCAGACTAGCAAACTGCCAGCTGCCTTCTTGTCCCCAGGCAAAAAGAAGACATTTGAAAGTTCAGCACAATATGTACTCATAGCTGAGGCTCTAGGTACGTAAGAAGACCCCAAGTAAATGTCTGCTGTCTCTACTGTTGTAGCTCCTCTAAGTTGGGATGAAAAGTTTTATTTTTGTGAAATAACACCTACTGAGATTATTCTTGATTCTCTATTGAAAATATCTTTGAAGAAAACATAAAAAAATTTTTCAAAGGAAAATGAAATCACCCATAACATTCTTAACTTCTTCATATATTTCTTTCTAGTCTTTGTTCTATGTGTATTATCAAAATTGGGATTATGTTGAATATACAGTTTTTTATGTATTATACTATAAGCCTTTGCCCATGCCATTAATGATCTTCTACAATGTGATTATAATGATTGCTTAATATTTCACCTACATAGATGCACTATGGTTTGCTTAATGAATTACCCAACATGGACTATTTAGTTTCTAATTATTCAAGGTTATGAATAATGTTGCAATAATATGGTTAGAAGATTTTAACCCTTTAGTGGCCTATGCTCACCAAGAATTCACAAAGCAGGACCAATAGAATTAAGCTGACTCTTCAATCTGCAGAAGAAATACGCCTGGAGGATATCTTTTTCATATCTTCCTTCTGTTTCCTTCCTTCTGATCCTAATTAAAGTAAAGCATTTGATGTAGGAAATAGGAAAAAGTAAAATTATGAACTTCAGCCCAGGGAGGAGTTATAGAAGTCTAGGTTAAAGCATTTATGAAGATGGATATTCAGTTCCTGCTCAGAAATCTCCTACAGAAAGGGTTTTAATTCTCTCAAAATTACATCCTACAATGACATCCTATTACACTTTGGCAATAACGCAAAATCTCACCATGTGATCATAGGTAGGGAAAGATAGAGGAAAAGGAAGGGGAAAAGACAGGAAGAAGGAATTAGCCTAACTGGGCAGGAAGAATATATGACGATATTTAACAGCAACCCCAATACCGTCCAAAGCCACTTATGCAAAACTGAGCAGCAGATCATCCTTCTATTCACTCTATTTACTGTAAGAGGGGAAAAACAACCATAGCAAGTGAAAAGTCCCTAGCAGACTTGTGGACTGATAGACTTGACTATTAATCTTGCCTTGAGCAAACAGCCTGAAGTTTGCTACAGAGTCAAGAAGTCAAGAGGTAACAGAACCAGGATCAAATAGGTCCCACACTTAAGCAAGGTTTGAGAGGTGGCACATCTTGAAAGATATTAAATAGAATACAGACAGATCAAACCACAAGGGCTCCCTCTTCATTAGACCACCCCAGGATGCTCACTTCTGACCACCTAAGAATCCATTTCTGATGCTATACAGGTCCTAGAGGAAAGCTCCCACAGGCAATTCAGATCGCCTAACCTGTCCCCCCATTATTGACATTGTCTATAGAATCAGTGTCAGAGATGGAGTAGATGAAAAATGTGATTGGATGGGCTTTTCGCTATTTTTTCCTCTTCTCTTTTTTTTTGAAGAAATGACCAGCTACCCATTGTTAAGTAAACCCATTCAGTATTTACTCAGCATCTCTATGTATGAGACACAGTGGTAGAAATATATAGTGGAATCTATATCTACACATCTAAACCCACATGTGTACTCTACATAGGAGCACTTCAATTTAATAAGGAAGAGCCCATCAGCTTGGTGTGGTCCTGACACCACTGACGGAGGTATGCACACAGTGCTCTAGTCCAGTCTGAGTGGGAAGATGGAAGCCCCAGGGAAGAATTTCAAGGAAAAATTACCCCTCCCCATTAAGCCCTTGCTTTGGGGTTTAAAATGTAAAGAGGAAAATAAAAGTAAGGAGAAGGAAGAAGAGAAGAGGAGAGGGGGAGATACAAGAGGAAAAAAGGAGGACAGAGTGTGGGGTAGCATTTAAGAGCATGAACACAGTATTTAGGAAGAAGGTAAAAATCTCTGCTGTACTACTGAGTAGCTCTGTAAACTCAGACAAGTTCTTTTCTGAGCCTTAGTTTCCCCATTTTATTAAATGTATTTTACTAAAACATTTAATAAATTCTATATCATAAGATTATCATGAGGATTACAGGAGATGATACATGTGTCTGGCAAGTAAGTAGTAGTTACCCAGTGAAAATGAAGTACTAATACACATTGAGTGCTTACAATGAAACAAATTTTAGGCTAGGTAAAATAACCTATATTACTTCAGGTTTAATTACTATTATTACTATTATTATTATATATTATCAACATCAAATAAAGAGGAGGAAGGAAAAGAAAAATAAAGAAATCTTGAATCCACATGAGAACCATAAGGGGTCTTAGGGCCACTACGTCCAACTACGTAATTTTATAGAGGAGGCATCCCAGCACCGGGGACATAGTGATTTACACAAGCTCACATGATTCCAAAGCAGCAGAATCCGGACTAGAATCCCAGCCTTCGAGCTGCATGTATAGAAAGGGTTCCTTGAAGCCATGGGCCCTCTTTCAGGAGTGGCCCATCCATGGAGATGGACCTTGGCCACTACCTCTCTGGGAAGCCAGTACACCCAGAGCCATCACAAGGAACATGACTCCTCTTCATTCATGCTCCATTCCATCACCCAGAGCCTCATAATTAAAAGAGAACACACATGCCTTTGGTTACTGAGACCATCACTAAGAACTAGGTGAGCTGCAAACAAGCAGACAACCAGGCAGAAAAACCTGGATTAAAGCTGATCCCCTTGCTTTACAGACACTTATCAGAGAGTGGTTGGGGGCCCACAGAGAGGAAGCAGAGCCATCTTCAGGGAGCTCGCCAGCCCTTCATTCGCCTGGGGAATCTCAGTTTAGAAAACATTATCTTTTCATGTTTTTCTCTGATAGGTGCTACACTGATTTGCATGCATTCCCACCAATGTCAGAAAAGCCTGTGAAGTAGTAACAACCAGGCTTCTTAATGCATTTCAAATACCAAAAATCAACTTAATTAAGTAGGGTTGTTTTTTTTTTTCCAAGCAGCAATCAAACTTTAATTACTACTCCATTAAAATGAATTCCTGGAGGAATACAAGCATGCATACACCCAATGAGCTCATCTGCCAAGGGTGTTATTAGAGAAGATGCTAAATGTGCCTCTTTACTGGCCACTTACTCAATTTCAGAGTGCCCCATATTAATCAGAAGTGAAAAGCAAGAGCAGGTTTACAAACCTCCTTCTCTCTATGAGCCCCTGTGCCCTGCCAGCAACAGAACATAACCCATTCTCCCTTCTCCTGTCCCCACTTTGTGAATGATTCAGGCCAGATTTAAGCCCAGTTGGTTTCCTCCTGCATGGAGGGTTGCTCAGTACCCTTTGCTTTACTCTACAGTCAGGCAAGATGAAGACTGACTCACTTTAACATCACCACCCCGGGGCAGACCACTTTAAGAAGATTTAATCCTCTGTTTTTAAAACATAGAATGAAAACAGAACACATTTGCAAACTCTGTATGTTCCTTGCTGGTAGCAAAGATGATGATAGTTCTGCAGAACTCTGATTTCCAACAGGAAACAGCCAAAAAGAGAAATTGGGTATGGGGTACAAAGGGGGTCTCTGCTATCTTATATTCCCTCTTGCAGTACTATTTCTACACAAGGGATTCCCAAATTTCTCTAGCTGCAGACTGAATACTCTAAAAAGGTACCCCAAACTACCTACCTCTGCAGCCCCCTCCTCACTAAAGATGAAGAGGAAATGTTGCCCATTTCTGACTGAGACCGAAATACAACTTATCAGGAGCAAATTGCTAATATCATCACTGTTGGAAGGCTATTACCCCAAGATCTCCCAAGACCCTGAGCATACCCCTGAGGGTCACTTTACTAGGAAACTGACCTGACCCTTGCCATCATAAATCAACCCAGCGAATGCCCCCTCTTCACTAGCATGTCTTACCTCTTTGGTGTGTGTGTGGAAGGAGACAGACATATCCAGGAGAAGCTTCCGCTGCTCCACCCTGCGCACAAAGTCTTGGATGCGCACCTCCAGGTGTCGAGCTGCCTTGTAGATCTCCTCGGGGTCACATTCCCCGGTCTGCGCCAGCTGTTCTGCTGCTTCTAGGAGCTTGTCCGCATTGGTGTATGTATTCTGCCAGCAACAACAGCGAGGGGAAGTCAACTTGCAGTCACGAACAGAGCTTCGCTCCTTCCCCCAACCCACCAGGGCTGCCCAGAGTTGGAGCACAGTGCGTGGGCGCTGAGCCGACAGCTCCCTGGTCTGGCACGGAGGAGCTTAGCGCCACTCTCGCCCACCACCTCCCCGCAAGCAAGCAGCCTGCCTGTCAGTTTGGCACCAGCGGGCACTAACCAGGTGCCTTTTCTGTTCCTGGGATTTCTCAGAGGCGGGGTGCCCCTGGACAGAAGCAAGGAGACATGTGAGAACCCCCCATTCCCCATCTGCTCCCTGAACCCCACACTAGGATGATGATCCATCATTTGCCTTCACATCGCAGGCTGTAACTGCCAGAGTCAGAAATACCTCATCCACAAAGATTGTGTTTCTATGTGAGAACACCAGGGAAACAGTAACTGGGAGACTTACTTGACTCCCTGCCACCCCCAAGTTCCCTACAACTACTGGCGCTTATCTTTTGGAACAGAGCTATCTCTTTGGAGGGGAAGGGGCCAGTAACTCTAGGGAGCTGACAGAAGGAAGCAGCCACAGTCAGAGTGAGGAGATGCAGGCTCTCCCCTGTGCACCCAGTGAAGGCTTAATGTTTGCAGGAAGGTTGGGGAGGAGTCTGGTGATTTGTTTATCAGAAGCAACTGCATACACATTCATATTCACACTCACACTCACACATACACATACACATGCACACATGCACTCACACACTCCTCCAATCCCCGTCTGTACACACCATGGTATTCTACAGAGCATTTTAAAGGGCAACCAACTTGTAATTATTATTCATCTGGATGGGAGTCACTGTTTTTATTAAGAATTATTACATATATGCCACGGATACATCTTTTCTTCAGCAGGCTTTCCTTAAAAAAAAAAAACATCTGATATACTCTGCTTTAGAGCTGATGACTCAGGTGTATATTATATTTCTCAAGATCCTTTCAGTTGTACAATGTGCTGTAGAGTGGTGAATAAGTCATTACTGGTGATGAAGTGATGTTGGCAGCACAAACAGTATCAAATGCAAAGTGGGTGGGGAATTGAAATGGATTTATGAGTGATGGCTTTTCCTATGGAGAATGGCCTTTAGTATTCATGGAGTGTTTTTTTTTTTTTTTGACTCACCTGAAGATCTGGACATTAAGGATTGAATTGTGTCCCTTCATAAATTCACATGTTAAAGTCATAACCCCCAGGACCTCAGAATGTGAACTTATTTGGAAACAGAGTCATTGCAGATGTAATCAGCTAAGAGCAAGTGTTACTGAAGACTGGTGGACTCCTAATCCAATATGACTGGTGTCCTTACAAAAAAGAATGCCATTTGAAGATGAAGGCAGAGATCAGGGGACAATCTACAAAGCCATGGAATGAAAAAGATTGCCAGGAAATCACCAGAAGTTAAGAGAGACGGCTGAATAGATTCTCCCCCATATCCCTCACAAAGAACCAACCCTGTTGACACCTGGTCTCAGACTTCTAGCTTTCAGTACTGTGAGATGATAAATTTCTGTTGTTTAAGCCACCCAGTAGGTGGTACTTTATTAGAACAGTCATAGGAAACTAATACACCAGGGTGGGAACTGTAAGGGACTTGAGCCAGCCCCTTGATATACTGGGAAAGATGGGCAGACACTAAGCATACACTTGTCAGGGCTTTACGGAATCCGAGAGGGGCTCAGAGGATCCGTAAGGAATCTGTCTGAAAAGCAACTGCGGAAGGCAAACACTGTCCCGGTGCAGCTGAGGTGGAGTGGTCGGAGGGCTGAAAAGGAGGAGAAATCCTTTGACCCCACCTGGGGAATTCATGAAAAACAGATGATCCTGTGGAAGGAAAGAGGCTCTGCCATTAAGTTAAGTAATGCTATGCTGATTCTGGAAAGCAAATGAAGGAAGTGGTCAGAGTCAAGATGGAAATGATGGAAGAATTGGAAAATGACAGACAGGAGGAAACCTCTGGGGCTCTGGGCCAGGTTGAAGAAGCCTCTTATGGGGTTGTCCACAATTTCTAGTAAATATACTTAGAGCCGATGGGAGACAGTTTTTTTAGGAATCCTCTCAAATCTTCTACCTTAAACATTGGGGAATCTCAGGAAACCCCATAGAAATCCAGAGATTGTGACTTTATATTTTCTAGGCAATAAGTAAGTATTTGTGACAAAGCTAAAGCAAGCTTACTTGCAAGTTAAGTTTAGGACCAATAAAAGATCAGTAAAAAGCAAAAGTGAAATGCCCACTACATACAAGGTAGACAACTTGTCCCAGATAGCTTCTGAACTTTCCTGGTTTTTTTTTTTTGGCCCATTTTTAAAAAATTTTGTTATTATTAATCTACAATTACATGAAGAACATTATGTTTACTAGGCTCTCCCCTACCCCAAGTACCCCCCACACACCCCATTACAGTCACTGTCCATCAGCATAGTAAGATGTTGTAGAATCACTACTTGTCTTCTCTGTGTTGCAAAGCCCTCCCCTTTCCCCCACCCCCCATATTATGCATGCTAATCATTATACCCCCTTTCTTCTTCCCCACCCTTATCCCTCC